CTCAGGAGGTCATCTAGTCCAACCCCCTGCTCAAAGCAGGACCAATTCCCAATTTTTGCCCCTGATCCCAAATGGCCCCCTCAAGGATTGAACTCACAACCCTGGGTTTAGCAGGCCAATGCTCAAACCACCTAGCTATCCCTCCCCCCTATTTTAATGGGTCAAACCTAACATTTCTTTTTCCCCCCTCTAACAGTTAAGAGGAAGGTGGAGAAAACACTAAAAAGCGCTAATATTTACTTACTTGTAATCTCTCTTCACTGCTCAGCAATTTTATAAATGACAATATTCTAATGGGGTCCTCAAAAGACAACATGCAATGCTAAGAATATTGTTGGTCCCAGTGATTATGCTGGTGCACAGATATGCTGTCTAAATGCAGGTTTTTAATTAGAATGGCTAGGTTAGATAAAAACCCACAATTGTGAGCCAATATGGACTATATTTTAATACAACTTCTATTGTAACTGAACTTTAATGGTGTTTGATCATTTTCTTTGGGAGAAAATTAAGCATTTTGGGGTATCTTCTCATTGCAACTTGTGCTAACAAATTATGGTTGGCCAGCAGCCATACATGAGGAGCACAGAAGAATTAAGGTATGGGCACAAAACAGTTCCATTCAAAAGAACTTTGTTCTTACAGGTCTCTGTACCAGTCTGAGGTTTGTAGGGCTTACTTTGCTTTCCTCAGTTCCTTGCCAGCAGGTATAAACTGAAGAAAAACTTCAATTAGACACTACTTTCCAGGACACCGTTGCTCAGTTTAGTATATTCCACAATCCTAGGTCTTGTACAAGCTGAAGATATCCTTGGTATTGTAGGAGGCTGATGCACCATAAGGGAAAAAAAGCATAAAGCAGGTGCAACTTCACAATGAGAGCGTGCCCTGTTTTTCCTCGAGATTCCATAAGCCAGCCCTCACATCCAGGCTGGATTCAAACAAATCTACTGTGCACCTGAATTTGCTGATCTCAGACAGTTCTTCAAAAACATCAGTGTATACCAGGGTTGGGGCAAAGTCTGTTCTAAGCGGATGTTAGTTGCTGCAGAGAATCAGATCCCAAGATTTTGCTTTCTTCCCCAGATACTTAATCTATATTTCAACTCCTTTTTAAATGAAGCATTTCTGCCCAAATTTCCACGTATTCCTACTTTTGTCTGCACACACACACACTTTACGGACAACACAGCCGAGTACTTTTAGATTTAGAACTTTATTTCCGAGAGGCAGTGTAGCTGGAACTGTCTGTCACATTGGAATTTTAGGTTCAACTCAGCTCATGAGGCCTCCATCAATAACAAAGGTGGTGAAAGGCACAGAATTAACATCAGTCTCACTTTTTGTGGTGACTATCTCATGGTCTCTTAGTACCCAGATAAAAACACCTTGCCAAAGGCATCAGAGAGATGGAAAGCAGCAGCAGGTCAACAACAATCATCCTTTCTGTCTGTGCCCGGTCAGGAGGTTCAACTGTGTGTGGCATGCTACAGAAAGATGCAGGCACAATACTAATAGAATCCTGACCGACCTCCAGGAAGCTTTACTGAGAAAAAGCCAGATGGGAAGTAGCAGTTGTTGACAACTTCTAACTCAGAAAAACTAGAAGACATATTCCTTGTGACAGCAAAAGGCTCCTTCCTGACCTCAGGACAATCCTCTGCCAAAAAACTTCAAGTTCCTTTCTGCAAACCATGGAGTCATTAGGGTTCTTCAAGAAGTGGTTAGAATAGTTTTTATAATGTAAAGGGTTAGACAACATAAATATAGGGGCTGCTGCCGTTTAATGAACTCAAATCCCAAAACTGGTCCCAGGGGTACTCCACTCAGATCACATTTTCAACATGTAGCATTTCCCTCTATGCACAGGGCATACTTCCTGATCTTAATGCCAATTTTTTAATCCAGTACAATGTCTTATCTTCTTTTCTGTTACTCTTCCATGGCCAAGAAGCTCTGATGCGGAAAGCTGTCAAATGCTTTTGAAAGATACATACGTTTACTAAATCCACCTCATGGCTTACAGCAATGAACACTTTCAGAAGATCCCAGCAGGTCAGATCTATGCCAGGGATAGTCTATTTTTTGTCAAGGGCCAAATTTCTCAGTCAAGGTCGAGACTCCAGAGAAAATAATTTCTGGTATTGTGGAGTCCACGACTGACTGCAATATTGTGGATGTAGTATCCTCATAACCATATTCAAAGTGCTCATCAACTCCTTGTTCTTTGATACTTCTCTGTATTCAGTCTACCATGGTACTGAGAGGCTATTTGCTATCAACTAGCACTCAAGTCTCTTACAGCATCACGGCTTTCCACTGCCCTTCCTATGTATTGTCTGGGGGATTACTTTCAATCTGGAAGAATGCATCTAACAGGTCTGAGAGAATCTCCTTTTATTTCCTGTCCATCTTTCTAACCTCTGTAGCTCTGTTTATATCTTCATCAGTTTATAAATCTCCACATTTTATTTCATCATCATTCTGTTTACTTCTTCTTTCACAGCTACTGTAACATCTTAATAATGTAACAGATTGCTGGGGTATTTTGTAGCCTACCTTCCCCAACTCATTACACTCTCATTTACCATTACCTTTCATTTACAGCTGAATAGCCCATTTTCAATTTATGTAACCCTTGAATAGGAGCTCTGTATTTGAATAAAAATATCAAGTCAGATTTCTAGTGAATGCACTACACAGGTCCAGTTATATTGCCATTTCCCTTTGGGGACTAATTTTGTAATTTGACAAATAAAAGCATCAAATTTACTCCAAAGCTTCAGCTATACTTCTCATATTCAAATTTTAATTTCCAATTAAATCCGAAATATCCACTGACTTTGCTGGCTGTTAACATGTCAGGTAACAAAATAATTCTTTACTACCAAAGCCAGAACAAAAATAGCCTTCGTTACTGTAGAACAGAAGTGCCAAGTCATCCAAGGGGAAGCAGCCAATGAGAGCTACCAACATCTATTTGGAATGTATAGGTACCTATATCTGCAAGTCTCAGGCGATAGGCAGAATAATCTTATAGTGCAAAGATTGGTAAAGAGAAAGCTTCAGAGACAAACTAAGATTTAGCACGGCTTATTGTCTTCTTTCCTAATATTCATTCTCAGGTTTTTGTGGCAGACATTAATGAGAGTTTGTTGTAAGCCGATTAGCCTTATGACCATGGGACTGGTTAAAAGAATGAGTTCATTATACAAATGCGGATCTGATACAACTATGTTATGTGCTCAATATTACAAGTATGACATTTAGTATGACCTTTTAGATGTATTATAAATATTGATTTATCAGAAAATACTGAATTTTTCATTTTAACAGTGAGGTTCCTGTAGAATTAGATTTTGAAACATGGCATCTGTAAAATTAGAGACAAGTTTTGGTGCATTGATCCCAGTGAAAGGGATCTTAAAAATTAATATGTGGAAATGAGAATATTTACATGGCTACTTCTCTGACTGCACCTGGAAATCAAATAGATTGAGATGTAAATATCATTTGCACCTTTAACATTTAAGCACATGCTGAGGCCTCTATAAAAATCAGGCTCTTTGGGACGGTCTCTGCAGGGAGCCGATTGTCCTCAATGATCACTGGACTTCAATGGGAGCTGAAGGTGCTTGGCCCGTCCCAGAGTAGAGCTCTTACTATGTTCTGAAAGAACAAGGACCTAACATTATGGGCAAAAGTCTTATGTGGAGAAGTCCAGGAACTGGGACCAAATTTTCATCGGTTACAACGTGAATCTCAAATGACGCCAATGAGGTTGCTAAAGTTGCTCTGGATTTATATGATTGAGATTAGAGTCTGACCCTTGATTTTTACGGGATCACTGAATACTGGCTATTTTGGCATTTCCTAGTGTTCTATCAGAAATCTGTTCAGTGGAGCTAACCAAATGAGACTTATCAGGTAAGCTCAATGAATATTAAATTTCTCCTTAAAGGGCTATTTCAGCCAAAAGGTCCAGAACTTGATTTTAGTTTGATGTAAAATTTTACAATACCCAGAAACCTGTTGAATGACCATTTAATGAATAATGTTTGTACCTTGCACGTACCTTAAAGCTGGAAAACACCACAAATTAATAGAATATCATGTGTCTAGAAATGTTCAAAAAATATGATTCTTCTTCAGCACAGAGGGCATCCTTCAATATGCTGCTTAACCTCATTTGAAATATACTTAGCAGATGGACTTCATACATATGTAGATATTACCAGTAATATAAATATTGTATTTTGAGGACACTTTAGCACCAATAGGATTACACAACAGCCATTGATTAGGGACTTGATCTTGCATCAGAACTTAATATCCTAGTCTTCTAGATGAAATCCTGCTACACCAGCCCCCCCTTAAATCAATGGAAGTTTTGTAATTGATTTTAATAAGGCCAAAATTTCACTCCCAGAGTCAGACTTCTCACAAGCACTTGGGATCTGTTAATACAGACCCCAATGCAGGGTCAGGGCTTCAGATTGTAGGAAAAAATGTCAATTTATATTAATTTTCCACATCAAAAAAACCTCACCACATTGTATTAAGAGTTAAGTAAATCTTATTTAAGATCAATGCTCAGGGAATAAACATGCACATCTTGCAAAAGTCAACTGTTGTGCAAATGCTGTGGTTGATTTTTTCCAGACACATAGTGATGACTGCATAACTGAAGTCACTTTGCCATCTAGCGGAATAGACATTTTTGTGTTTAATTCACATCAGAAGCTATTAGCAATTATTTCAAAGGGCAAAAGTTTTTCTTCTCCTGATAACAAGAGGCTCAAAAATTTAGTGTTATTTTTGTATGCAGTGGCTCCAATATATAGTAGTCATCACAGGTAACAAAAGTGTGAGAATGTATGTATATGTATCTGTACATACATACCCACCTTTTACTAATCTAAGAATCTTAGTACAGGACATACATTGAACAGAACACTGACTTCACTGTTTACAGTTTTACTTTCAACTGAGTTACTTACATTCCAAAGCGCAAGGTTCCAGAGACGTATGTCTGCCAGTGTGCACAATAAAACATGAATGTCCCAGCAAAACAACAAAAGAACATCCAGTCAGGATTCGTCCCCAGCTGCACAGCAATACAAGTTCCCAAAACCACAAAGACTGCAGAAGAAATCAGACAAAAAAAAAAAAGCAAGCATGTACAAAGAAATCTTTACAAAACTATACAGAATTCTAGCAAAGGATCCAGAGAAAGAGGCACAGTGAGATTACAGTAAATCGCTACATTATATAGTAAAGACTTTTAACAAAGATTATATATCACAAACAAAAACAGTTCAAGAAATGCAAATATTTCATTGCTTTATTACTGCTGTTCAATGAGGGTGCTCAAAGTCACAGGGTGACTGCTGAGATGCTGTTGATTATACATTACTGTGAACTACAATACCTCTGCAAAAATCTTAATCTTGAAATATCTCATCACAACAGATTTTCAGAGCAGCGGCTAAGAGAGAGTTTGCAGATGGTACCCATTGCAAAAGGCACCCTTCCTACTGAAGTCAATGGGAGCTGAGAGAGGGCACAGCACTTTTTAAAAAGAGATTCTCAGTAATTTATGGGATCAGGCTCTTAATTTGGTATTTCCTTGTTTTTGTTTACTTTTGTTCAAGTTTGCCATTTTCTTTCACTGCGTCTTTCATTAAAAGAAATTCTCAAGTTTTCTTATGTGCAAATCACAAAAAAAGGCAACTATTACTCCTGGGGGAATTCTATGCCACTGCGCATGCGCAGAATTTATGTCCCCTGCAGATTTCTTTGCTTCCCCGCAGAAAAATGACTTATGGGGAAACAAAGGGAAGCCACAAGAGTGGTCATGCAACCTTCCCAAGCAGTACGTTTTGGGTGCCCAGGGCAGCCCGCAGAGAGGTAAATCACTGTTCAGCCTCCTGCCCCACTGGGGAAGACCCGGCTGGCAGCTCTTACCCTGCACCAGGCTCAGCTGCTAGTCCCAGCTAGGCTAGAGAGGACAGGACTTCCTCTTCAGACCCAACCCCAGATTTCTCCCCCAGCTGCAGGAATCTCTGAAGACTCCCACACACACTTCCTGCACCCATCGCTCCTCAGCTGCAAGGGGAGGGATCCCTGTACAGGGAGCTGCTCCCCCTTCTGCCCAACCCCCATGCATCCAGACCCCCTCATACCCAGACCTTCCCACCAAGCCTCACTCCCCCCCACACTCAGAACCATGCCAATGAGCCTCACTCCCCATGCACCTGGTGCACCCCAACAAGCCACCCATACCTGGATCCCCAGCCCCCTGAACCCCAACTAGCTGCACCTGGATCCCCATTCCCCCATACTGGCCTCCTCCACTGAGCCACAGCCATCTTGACCTGGACCCCCCTGCAGAGTCCCATCATCATTGCACCCAGAACCTTCCCCCCCTCCCCAAACAAGCCCCTGTGCATCCAGATCCCCCCCTGCACCCAGATCACCCACTGACCCACCCACACCCAGACTGCCCCACACAGAACCCTCTCAACCAACACCTGGATCCCTCCACACTTGGATCCTGCCTTGCTGAGCCTGCCTGTCCACACCTGCTGCACCTGGCATGGAGGGACAGGGCCCTTGGGTGTTTCTGGGGCAGGCCCAGTCTTGGTGCTGCGTCAGGGTTGGGTACAGCCTCACTGCCGAGTCTGTGTCCTGGGAAGGAGCTGCACAGTGATCTCCCACCTCTGTGTAGCCAGTGGCCTGTGCTCCCCAATGCCATGCTGGAGCCTCCACATTTATTTGACAAATAAAATTTGCGTAATTTTAAAATATTGTGCACAGAATTTAACTTTTTTGGCACAGAACACCCTCAGGAATAAACTATGCATTCTATGAATCTAAAATTACAAAGTGAGTGATCTATCAAAATTTAATATTAGAGTCTCATAAACTGTGATCTAAGTACCCAAACAAAAAATCTGAATCATTCATTGAACAAACAGGATTAAAGTTACCTCTGCTTTCAACAGAGTCAGGGCTGAATTTGGACTCCCAGTGTCACATAGTTTAGGTTCAAAATTTGACTTTAAAATTGTTTTAATTAAGCATAAACTATAGAAGCATTCTTTGTACTTTAAATGTAAGCTAGGTAAAGTTACTAAATTAGGCTCAAATTTAGCAAGCCACATGTGTAGACCCCATGACGTCAACAAAACTACTCATATGCTTAGAGCTTTACAGATTAAGTATCTTGCTGAATCAGGGCCTAAATTCCCTTAGTGTCAGTGTAACACCAAACTAGTCAGATTTAGGTTCTGCTTAAAAAGAACCAAAAAAAAAAAAAAAAAAAACCACACAACCAAAAGAAGATTTATTTGGCAATATAACAATAGCATCAAATTGCTCATCTCTTCAACAGCATGCCTGACAAAGGTTTTTCTTTCTATACTCTAGTTTACTATTAGGAATATCTCCAAAATATAAATAAATTTAATTTAACCATTATCTTCCAGTTACAAGTGACAATACCTGTGGACAGTGAATCACAACCATGGTCAAAAAGTTCTCCCAGAGGAGTACTACTATTGGTTCTTCTTGCTTGTTTTCCATCTATAGCGTCCAAAGACTGGTAAATGAAAAGGCCACATGCACAAGCAAAATATGCCCATGGAGGTGCCTAAGAGAAAAAATAAATAAATAAGAAGGTCAGTAAAAGATTAACAAATATTTGAAACACCTTAAACAGATCTTTATTCTCATACCAAAATAATTCTGATTTGCAGTACCTGAAAATACTCATGAATACATTTTTGAGAGTTTGTACTACAGGGGTGTGAACTGCAGAACACATTGGTATGCTGCACTCCAACTCCCTCGTGTGGGCACTGCTGTTGCAAGCTAAAAGGTACCAAGTTCACATTAAGTCTTCTTTCAAACGGGGCTAAATTAACCTGAACTAGGTACCTTTTAGTTCATGTCCACAGGGTCTACCCGGGAAAGTTATAGCATAGCACACTAGTATGAGCTGTAGCTCACACCCCTGTAATCCAAACTCTGGGACCATGTAAACAAGCCTTAAGTTAGCTGTGCATGCATCCACGGGACAGCCTTTGCTTTGAATATTGGTACATATGAAATAAGACCCCCAATCCTGCAATGACCTTCATAGTGGTAGGATCATGACCCCCATGTCAAGCTCAAAACTACACCCAGGTCAGTTGCAATACCAGTTATGCTAATAATAAACAACATTTTGTACTAGAGTTCCCCTACTCCTGTGGTTCTCAGAATTCTTTGCAAAGGTAGGCATATAGGTATAGCCCAATTTTACACACTATAGCAAATCTCATGGATCCAATACTTTGAGAGGCATTGCACTTTACTGGGTGAAACCTCATTCTATTCCTAGTGCACATATATTACAATAGTTTTATGTCTTTATATTACTTCGCTGTCATGCAATTCTCTCCTACAATCTTAGGATTCCAACCTATACATTTACACTGTTTTCAATGGTTTCAGAGTAGCAGCCATGTTAGTCTGTATTCACAAAAAGAAAAGGAGGACTTGTGGCACCTTAGAGACTAACAAATTTATTTGAGCAATAAGCTTTCGTGAGCTACAGCTCACTTCATCCGATGCATTCAGTGGACTGCATTTTCAAGGTCAACTTATTTGTTTTTTTAAATAAGTTCCTCTCTTTAAGATATGCATTTTCATAATTTTTATCTGTACCCATGCACTACACATAACAGGACAGTTTTCCCCATTGGAGACAGTTATCCCTTTGAACACTAATTTGTTATTGTAGAATATCACTAGCTGTTTGCTTCTAAACTAAATATACTTTAGAGTTGTCGTAACTTTATATTGTTTGATTACAGTAAGATTTTCAAAAACATATAAGTGACTTGAGAACTTAAGTCACATGGACTTGCAGTAGATACTCATACTGTGGTGATAACATATTCAAAGGTTACTTGATCCAAGTATTATATGTGATTTGAATTTCACATAAGAATGTAAGTTTTTTTAAAACACTTATTATTTCTAAATGGAAAATTAAGATTTTTCCTAATGAGACCCATGTTTTTCTATATCCAGTTAAAATAATTAGCATTAAGGTATTCACAGTAAAATTTATTACCAAGGCACACCTAATATGGAAAGAGGTATTGAAAGTTATTTTAATCGTAAACCCCTTTCTGCCAGCTTGTACTTTTGACTATCACTACTCAGTATTACATATGTTGTCCAAGCATGTTTTACTGTGTATTTTCATACAAGTGACTTTCATTAACTTCACCTTGAATGGTCCCTTAGAATACATGCTAACTACTTATGCTAAAAACAAGATCTGACACCCTAAATACCTTTCCCAGACCTGATGAAGAGCTCTGTGTAGCTCAAAAGCTTCTCTCTCTCTCACCAACAGAAGTTGGTCCAATAAAAGATATTACCCCACCCACCTGGTCTCTTTCATGAACTTTGTTGTACACAGTATACTGTATACTCCTGAGGGCATTCTCCACCAAACAAAAACTAAAAAATCTGCACACTATTTTAAAGTGTGCAGGTTTTATTTGTCAATAAATAAGTGCAGAAGCTCCAGCATGGCAGTGGGGCACAGAGGCTGCTGGCTGCACAAAGGTGGATGATCACCCTGCAGCCCCACCCCCGTCCCAGGACACAGACTCAGCAGCGAGGCTGCACCCTACCCTGACACAGCACAAGGGCTGCGCCCGCCCCAGAAACACCCTGGAGCCCTGCCCCTCTGCACCAGGTGTGGGGCAGGTATGCTCAACCAGGCAGGATCCAAGCATGGAGGGGCTCAGTGTGGGGGGAATCCAGGTGTGGGGTGAGAGGATTCTATGTGGAATAGTCTGGGTGCAAGCAGCTCGGGGTGGGGGAAGGAGGACAATGTCTAAGTGTGGGGAGGATATAAATGCACAGAGGCTTGTGGGACAGGGGGCCCTGGGGCAATGGGACTCTGCAGAGGCTTCCAGGTGAAGGTGGCTGGGGATCAGCGGAGGAGTTTGGGTGAAGTGGGACTTGGTGGGGTGGAGGTCTGGGGGCAGCTCATAGGGGGAGAAGGGGTGTCAGTGGCATGGGGGTCTGGATGTGTGGGCTGAGGTGGCTGGGTATGGGGGTTGGTGGATGGGGCGGGAGGCAGCTCCCCATACAGTGCTCCCTCCCCCCACCACAGCAGAGGAATGATGGGGGCAGGAAGCAGGGGAAGATGCTGAGCTCCCTGCAGCTGACAGAGGTCTCTGGAGGTGGGTCTGACACAGCCTTAGCCACTCCTTGCAGGGGAAGAGAAAGTCTCGTCCTCTCCTGCCTCCAGCCCAGCCCAGCAGCTGATCCTAGCTCAAGGTAGGATCACTTGCTGGAGTGTCCCCAGCCCCACAGTGATTTACCTCTCCACCAGCTGCTCCAGGTACCTGAAACGATGTACCTGCACTGCTAGGAAGTGGTGCTCTTGCAGCTTCCCTTTACTTCCCTTTACTTCCCTGTCAAAGTCATTTTTCTGTAGGGAAGCAAAGAAATCTGTGGGGGACATGAATTCTGCACATGTGCAGTGGTGCGGAATTCCCCCAGGAGTAAGTATTATACTGTACTACAACAGACTGCAGTTAATATTGTAGAACAAGTTTTATAATGTGTTGTATTATTTGAGAAGGAGTATGTGATCGTGTAACTAGACTGTGGAAATACATAAGGGGAACAAAGTTAAAGCAGCATTTACCACCTTAACACCCTAGACTTCTTTCCAAAGAGTATGCCTCCTCTGGTGATAACAGCAAGAAGGGCTGCAGGCAGATGCCAATACTTTAAGCATGTCTTCTTAGACCGACCCCTTCTAAGCATGTAACAGCCCTCCATACATTGCTAACACCAGTGGAGCTGCTCTACTGTTAGTGTTTTTCAAACCAACCTATTTTCAGTTGGATATCAAAAGGCCTGTTCTGGTATACATGGGTATGCAGAAAGACACCCTGGCATCCCTCACCGAGGAAGTAAAATGACTGCAAAGTTTGCTTAATGAAAAAGGGATTCTCATGCAAGCTTGGTTGAAAATGCTGGAAAGAACTCTGATTGAGGTAAGCTTCTTAAGATACAAGAATAACTTGTTAAGTTTAGGCTCCAGAATGATGTTCTGGGAACAATGATTGTTTTTATTTGAATCTATTTTCTTAAATAAAGTTTTATTTTATAATTGAACTTGAGTGCTGTGCATAATACAGGAGCAGTAGTCTATGGTGAAACTGTGGTACACTGGGTGATCAGCACTGGATACCACAGGGCAACACTTCAAAGGGAGTCAGGGGCTGCAGTGCATCTATTGTCAACCTGCAAGGCAAAGCTAGGGCTGGTGTAGCCCAGGGGAGAGTGCTTGAGTGGCTGACAGGCTGGTTGTGTTAGGCTGCTATCACCCAGCTAGCACAGACAACACTGCCTCCAGCATGAGGCAGGTAGTAATGAGGTGACTCACAGGCCTGCGTGCACCAAGAAGCATCAGACCTACCTATCAATCAAGTTTCTTGTTGTTGTTGTTCAAACTGAAGTCTACACAGAGCTTCAGGTGACCACAGTACAATCACAAGTAGTAAAAAATAAGTGGTAACTATACATGCAATGCCAAGACAGGATAGCTCCAGCTTGCTTTTCTCAAAGCTTCCATAGGAACTCAGCAGCTTCTTGTGAGGATCCAAACCAACTCCTTTCTGTCTGCAGCAGCCCCCACATAACTGCTACTAGAACAGCTTGGGCTCCCTTCCCAGTCTATTGTGCTATTACATATTCCTTGACTGAACGTTTCACATGTATTTGGGCAGAGCCAGACAACACAATGTTAGTGACTGTTGGCCCTTGACATCACTTCCACTTGTCCCAGCGTAACTAGTGAGCAGCAGAACCCAGCTGTTTTCTCCAGGAAGTGCCAACACGGAAATCCACTTATGTTTTACTACACACAAATGCTTATAAGTAGGAAGACTTCTTTAAGACCCTCACCCCCTGCGTGTGCACACACACACAAAGCATTTGTGTTCACAGAACAGCTCAAAATAAGAATTGTGTATCACTCAGTGCAACACAACCACTTCCCCAAACACAAGAACACAGCCAAAATAACGTTGGCTCCATGCTACTCACATTAAATATGAAATCTGTCATAGTTAGAAGCCCATCTCTTACCTGCTCTGCAGCTGTTGGGCAGTAATACACTAATATTACTGTTGTACATATGTTTATTAACAGTCCAGTAATGGTGATCAGATTTGGGGCAATCCAGGCTGGAATTCTTCCAACTAGCCATTCCCAGTAACCTTGCATTAGTGGCTCAAGCAAGGAGTGTCCAGCACTCTGATATTTGTGTTCTTCTAACCGCTTTAGCTGGTGCTTTGACAATGGTGGTGTAGGCAACTGAACCAATCTGCGTAACACACACACTGTAGCAGGAACATGACCACAATCCATAGGGGATTCTATGCGTGACTCTCCACATCGCTTCCTTGAGGATCGATGCCCACTCATGGATTGGTTAGCCTTGGAATTTTTATTTGGCAGGTTACAGTTGTGAAGTATTAAGATCCAGATCTACCTGGAACATGAAAGGAATTTAGACATATTTAAGATGAAGAAAATGTGCCTAACTTAGTAGCGTTCAACCTCTAAGTGTAACACTATTGTAAGTCTCACATTTGACAGCCCAGGCCAGTTGCAAACCAAACGTGTCCTAAGTCAATGTTCAGAGGCATTTGCAGAGAGGAATTTTTGAGGGGAATGGAAGTGTTATTTCTGTTCAGCTACTAATGAACATGTGAGCATATAAAAAAAATTATAACCACAAGTAGCACTAGCTTTCACCCCTTGTTGCCTCTCTTGGCAAATATACTGCTGCCCTTAGCCTCATTTCTAGCTCCAGTGGAAATATACACCACTGATATGCATCAGAAACCAAAGACCATCACAAACCTAACCATCTTCTGATCCAAGTACAAGTCCCACTTCTTTAAAATTGCCTTCTCTAATATAGGTTAGCATGTACATTTAAAAACAATAAAACCCTACCCAAACACTATGTTGTATAGTCAGCTTTCCTCCTGTGAGGAGGACAAGGTGTCAAGTCACAGCATTCAACGAATTCAGATACGAGGAGGACAGTACAAGAAGCCACACAGAATGGAACAGAATTAAGTTTTCCACAAATCATTGAACACTTCCAACATTTCATGTAAGCCTCCAATGTGGTTCCAGCTTTTCCAGTTGCAGGAGAAACTGGAATGCGATTTGAAGCAGGATGGTCTTTTTGGACCGTGCCTACCTGGGTTAACGCTACAGCCTAAAGATCACACAAGCCCCAACACTGTCCATTAGTTCATTTTTCAGAGGAGCAGCCGTGTCAGTCTGTGTCCGCAAAAAGAACAGGAGGACTTGTGGCACCTTAGAGACTAACCCATTTATCTGAGCAAAGCTGATGCTCAAATGAATAGGTTAGCCTGCATTAGTTCATTGCTGCCTACTCTAGGAGGCACCTCCAGCTAGCGTATTAGTGGATTAAATTTGGAGAGTGAATTTGCAGGAATGCAAGTTGTGGACGGTAACAGCAAACCCCTGGGAGCCTGGAAGAAAGAAAGTTGATTTTTTTTGGGGGGGGGGGGCGAAGGGGGCGGGAATCAGAAGAGTTCCCTATTGAGACGTCTAAATGCAACTGGACTTTCTAAGCTCCCACAAGCCACGAGATCGCCGAGTAGCTCAGAGCCTGCAGGACTTTCGGCTACATTAGGTCGCCTGAGAAGCCAGAGGGACTCCTGCCAGGGGCCGCTAGCCCCAGCCAGGCTGCAGAGAAGCCCTGGCCCGGGGCGGGGCGGGACATCACCCCCCTCGGCGGGGAGCGCCCCGACCCCGCTCCCGGCCCGCCGCCGCCGCCGCCCGCTCAGGCCCCAGCCCGGAAGGCAGGGACCCCTCGGGGGCGAGACCCGGTCACACACCCAGCCCCGGAAACAGGGACTGCCCGGCGGAGCCGCTCACACGGGGCCCCGGGATCCCGGCTCGGCCCGTCAGGCTCCCTCGGAGGACCCGGCATTTACCTCAGCCTCTCTCCGCACGAGCCCGGGCGGCGCTTTTACGTCCCTTTTGCGGCTGCCGTAAATGAGCCTGGTGGCGGGCGGGCGGCGGCGGCGGCGGCGGCGGCGGGGGGGAGGGGTGACTCGGGAGCGCGCGCTGAGAGGTGGGTGTGGGAGCCCGGCTCGGGAGCGCGCGGGGCTGGGCGTGTGGCGCGCGCGGCCCGGGCTCACTCACCCGTGTCCCTGCCGTGCGCGCGCTGCCGGGTGCGGAGAGGCCATGGGGGTGAGGCAGGAGAGCCCGAGGTGAGGCACGCGCGGGGCGGGGGGAGAGCGCGCGCTCCCCTCGGGGTCTGACAGGCGCCCAGCCGGGTCCGAGTCCGCCCTGCCCCCCTCATCCCTACACTGCCCCGCCCCCATCCCCCACCCCCCCGACACTGCCCCGATCCCCCCTCTCCGCACTGCCCCGCCCCGCCCCCCACCCCCCGACACTGCCCTGATCCCCCCGTATCCCTTCCCCCCACTTCCCGCCCCCCACCTCCCTCCAGTCCACTGCCCTCACACCTCCCCTGCCCGCCTCCAGCCCCCCACCCCCTCCCGCCACTGACCTGCCCCACTAACTCTTCCCTTTACACCTCCCATTGTCCTGATCCAGCCCCCCACGCCCCTTCCTGCCCTGTCCCACTGACTCGCCTCCTCCTACCTCCTGTTACCCTTCCCCGCTGATTCTCTCCGTCCCGGTGTTATCCCACCCCTTCCAGAGCCCCTCACCCTTCCTGCTTACTTTACTGGTGCTTTTTCCTTTGGGATCGCCTTTCTAAAGCTTCACCACTGTCCAGCCCCTTTTAAAATCTTCCCTTCAGCCTGGCTCAGGTCAGACTTTGTGGTGGGTATCTCCAGGCTTACTCCGTGTTTCTCTGGGCTTTCCACCCCGCCTCCTCCTTTTTAGTCACCTTAGCTTTACCTTTAACTTTTACCCTGACGATACAATACTCAAATGAACCCTTTTGACACATCTAATGACTCCACCCTCTCCGTTCTTTGTGCTTGTCTTAACAAAGTAATGTGTGCCTGCTTGCTTCAACACAATGTCTCAGGGATGGAAATACTTATCTCAGATACAGCTCATTTTCGTTCATCTCCTATCCCTTCCTGAGGGGGTCATGCTGTATCTTTCATTTAACTCCTGTATTCCTGGATGTCATCCTTACCTCAGAATTTTCCTTCTTTCACAGCTGCTGTTGGGATTTCTGTTTACTCTGCAATACAGTCCATCTAAGCAACTATTTTAACTCCACCTCATCCATGCCTTGACAGCCTCTCATCTTTATTATTACAAAATCCCTTTTCCATAGCCTCAAAGTCCTAGATCTCTCTACTTAATCATGTGCAGAATGTTCCTGCACACCACACACATTGGAAGAAACAAAACCACATCACACCTGTCTTCAAAGGAGTTTTCAGGTTTTTAAGCTCTTCATTGACTTTCTCCAGCCTATTGATTCCCCCCACCTCATCTCTGCCCCCTTCACCCCACTGCTTTACCCCTGCAGTTGTGGGAGTTCTCTCCTCTCCAGTTCTGCCTTTTTTCAGATTTCATTCAAAAGCATCTTTACTAGTCCTTGCCTAGTCCTGATAATTACCTATAATTACACTTGATAAATAATGCAAGAGGGAGAGAGAAATTAAGTGCTTTAATATATTCTATCCAACAGAAGGCTAAAAAAAACTCCTTAAGAAAATGGAAATAAAGAGCCAGAGACTGAGATAAGTATTTTTAAATAGTTAAATACATCAGGAATAAAGACGCCTACATTTGTGACTATCTAGACCAGTTGGCAATATAGTGCCCATCTTTAAAAAAGGGAAGAAGGAGAATCCTGGGAACTACAGGCCAGTCAGCCTCACCTCAGTCTCTGGAAAAATCATGGATCAGGTCCTCAAGGAATCAATTTTGAAGCACTTTGAGGAGAGGAAAGTGATCAGGAACAGTCAACATGGATTCACCAAGGGCAAGTCATGCCTGACTAATCTAATTGCCTTCTATGACGAGATAACTGGCTCTGTGGATGAGGGGAAAGCAGTGGACATGTTGTTCCTTGACTTTAGCAAAGCTTTTGACACGGTCTCCCACAGTATTCTTGCCAGCAAGTTAAAGAAGTATGGGCTAGATGAATGGACTATAAGGTGGATAGAAAGTTGGCTAGATTGTCGGGCTCAACGAGTAGTGATCAATGGCTCCATGTCTAGTTGGCAGCTGGGATCAAGTGGAGTGCCCCAAGGGTCGGTCCTGGGGCCGGTTTTGTTCAATATCTTCTAAATGATCTAGAGGATGGTGTGGATTGCACCCTCAGCAAGTTTGCAGATGACACTAAACTGGGAGGAGAGGTAGATACGCTGGAGGATAGGGATAGGATACAGAGGGACCTAGACAAATTAGAGAATTGGGCCAAAAGAAATCTGATGAGGTTCAGCAAGGACTAGGGCAGAGTCCTGCACTTAGGACTGAAGAATCCCATGCACCGCTACAGACTAGGGACCGAATGGCTAGGCAGCAGTTCTGCAGAAAAGGACCTAGGGGTTACAGTGGACGAGAAGCTGGTATGAGTCAACAGTGTGCCCTTGTTGCCAAGAAGGCCAATGGCATTTTGGGCTGTATAAGTAGGGGCATTGCCAGCAGATCGTGGGACGTGATTGTTCCCCTCTATTCGACATTGGTGAGGCCTCATCTGGAGTACTGTGTCCAGTTTTGGCCCCCACACTACAAGAAGGATGTGGAAAAATTGGAAAATGTCCAGCGGAGGGCAACAAAAATGGATAGGGGACTGGAACACATGAGTTATGAGGAGAGGCTGAGGGAACTGGGATTGTTTAGTCTGCGGAAGAGAAGAATGAGGGGGGATTTGATAGCTGCTTTCAACTACCTGAAAGAGGGTTCCAAAGAGGGTGGATCTCGACTGTTCTCAGTGGTAGCAGTTGACAGAACAAGGAGTAATGGTCTCAAGTTGCAGTTGGGGCGGCTTAAGTTGGATATTAGGAAAAACTTTTTCACTAGGAGAGTGGTGAAACACTGGAATGTGTTACCTAGGGAGGTGGTGGAATCTCCTTCCTTAGAAGTTTTTAAGGTCAGGCTTGACAAAGCCCTGGCTGGGATGATTTAGTTGGGGCTTAGGGCTTTGAGGAGGGGGTTGGACTAGGTGACCTCCTGAGGTACCTTCCAACCCTGATAGTCTATGATTCTATGATTATGACGTAGCAAGGGTGTTAAAGTATTTGTTTACATAATTCTTTACATAGAAGGTAATAGGACATCTTCATAGAGTAAATTGTTAATAATCATTTATACAATACCATAAATGTACACCGCACTTTACAGATAAAGTGAAGACACACTTCCTTCTCTGTTTACACTGTGCAGGGCCTACCTATACACGAGCATCTGCCCACGTAGCTCCAATTGCACAATACGGTCCTTAATTAGACAATTTAAAAAAAAAGAGGCAGGACACAGGGCAGCTGTCTAGGTGAGGGGCCATGGGAGAGTAGAAGAATTTTTAGAAGTGAGTTTTAAAGAGAAATTTGAAAGAGTTGAGAAGGGGTGCTTGGTGGACAAAATATGCAAGGCTTTTCTAAGCACAGGAAGTTGCTACTGTGAATTAATTTTGTACACAGAATCCTGGCTTTGGATGTTCACAAAAGCACAATTATATGGACTGTCACCTGTATGCTTTCATGTACATCCTTGCCATTCTTCAGACAGTCTGACCTTGTGCTACATCTTAATATTACAGTGACCTTATGCATAGATTAAATAAATACATTAGTCAAACTGATGTTGCACAGTTAAGCATGCAAAGTCAGGAAATTCCAAAGTTGAAGCTGTGAGTATTGCATTGTGATATAGTTGATTACATCATCATGTTTCTCAAATACTATAATACATCATATCATCTTTTCTATGCCTTTAGCTAGATCTACAGAATTTTGTATGTTTGTCACTTCTTGTATATGTCTACTGATTTAGTTGCTTTAATAGTCCAGTATACAATAACTAACTTTTTTATGGTTTCAGCGTAGCAGCCATGTTAGTCTGTATCCGTAAAAAGAAAAGGAGGACTTGTGGCACCTTAGAGACTAACAAATTTATTAGAGCATAAGCTTTTGTGAGCTACAGCTCACTTCATCACTTCATCTCTTTGGACCCTTACATCTACTAGGCTTAACCAGTTTCTGTGTTCTTTGTTTCTCAAATGTAAGACTGGCCTTGTGGTTAAAGCACAAGACCATGATTTTGTAGAACTGGGCTCTAGTCTTAGCTTCCTGGTTGGAGCCGGTAGCAAACGACATGAAGTGATGAAGTGAGCTGTAGCTCGCGAAAGCTTATACTCTAATAAATTTGTTAGTCTCTAAGGTGCCACAAGTACTCCTTTTCTTTTTAACTTTTTTATGACAAATTCTCTGCTCGCTAAAGTTGGTAACTAAATTAAAGTACCTTACATTTAACAGGATTCTTTTCCTTTGGAGACAGTTACATTTCTTAACAGGAGTTCAGTATTGTATCTCACAAGCTGTTTCTCAGACAGAGTTGTATAGTCTTATTTCTGACTTATCTTTTATGTGGATTTGTACATTAGTATTTTTGGTATGCTCAAACTATCTTAATAAAGCTCAAATTTTACTTATGACATTCTTCAGTTTCTCATAAGAACCTGTGTGTAGAGTTTATGCTTATTTGCCACTGGTTTGAAAGTTATGACTATATTTCTAACCAAGCAGGTACAACACTTAAACATATTGAGTTGTGACTTTTAAGCCAAAGACTTTTAAAAATAGTGAATCTTGGGTTCTTTTTGTTTATGGAATTTGAGTCTTTAAAGCTCTTGTTTTCAAGTTTTTTTTCCACAAAGGCAGAAAATTACTTTAATTTTAAAAAATGAAAGCTGAGATTCTAGTATAGTGACATGGCTTTTGGGGGAGGGGCTTTAAGAAAATCCTCAGTAAAATCAGAACAGTTGGCAGTGTTGAATTAGTGGTGAAATTGTATAGCTTGTGTGATGCAGGAGGTCAGACTGGATGATTAATGGTCACTTCTGGCCTTAAAATCTATAAGCCTAAAACCCTTATTTGACATCTTACTGTCCTGTTATATTGACACTTTTCTTTATGTGTTCTGATAACACTTCCAATTAGGTCTGTCAAAGGTTTAAAATAATTAATTGGGAGATTAAAAAATAATCACAATTAATCACAGTTTTAATCGCACTGTTAATAATAGAATACCATTTATTTAAATATTTTTGGATGTTTTCTGCATTTTCAAATATATTGATTTCAGTTACAAATCAGAATACAAAGTAAAGCTCACTTGATATTATTATTTTTTAGTACAAATATTCGCACTGTAAAAAGATAAAACAAAAGAAATAGTATTTTTCAGTTCACCTCTTACAAGTACTGTGGTGCAATCTCTTAATCGTGAAAGTTGAACTTACAAATGTAGAATTGTTTTTACCTGTTTTGGGATTTTTTAGCCTAACCTAACTGTCCAGAGGACATGTTTCCATGCTGATGACAGGTTCTGCTCAATAATGATCCAAAGCAGTGCAGACCGACGCACGTTCATTTTCATCATCTGAGGCAGATGCCACTAACAGAAGGTTGATTTTCTTTTTTGGTGGTTTGGGTTCTGTAGTTTCTGCGTCGGAGTGTTGCTCTTTTAAGACTCTGACAGCAATTCTGTAATGGAAGTTCATGAAAGTGCTAGTGTTATTTTATTAATAGCTTGAAAATGAAATATTAAATGCCAGAAAGTTAGTACATGGGCACTTCAGATTCCCACCCTACCTTAATTCTGCCTCTGCATCCCCATCCACCTTCCACTTCCATGCTAGAGACTGTCATGCATCATAGCAAAATACATCTGCCTTTTTGTTGTATGATGTAACCCACACCCGCTCTTCAGGTTTTAGCAAGTACAAAGTAGGTTTCTGTCTCATGTCAAGAGAGTTCCAGAGCCTGATTAATGGCAGCTGGTTATGCTTAGAATCTACACCCCATACTTGAAGACGTCCCCAAATTTATCAGCAAGTGGTGGACAGAGGATTGGTGCTGGTGTAGCATGTAAGACCCAGACTGAGGGGGCAAAGGAGCAAGAGTACTTAAATTAGTGACCAACCTCAGGGAAGTAGCTGAGGGAGGGATACCTGGCAGCCATGTGCTGTCAAGCATGGCCTCCACACAAATCCTACACCCGTCCATGGGGAAAGGTCAGAATAAAGACATCACTGAGGGAAATGGGATACTCTGGGATTTCAGGGCAGTATGCAAAGAGTGGGTAAGATGAAGGTATATGTCTGGCCTGTCTCATAGGGGTTGGATCAATTCATATCAGAAGGGTAATCTGGATAGAATAAATTCTCCAGCCCTCTGGAACATGGAGGAGGTTGTCAGCTCTGGACCATATTTTTTCTTCTCTTCATATCCTTCTTCTGTTCCTGCTCTTTCTCCTGCCTTTATGCTTGCCCTTTGGACTCTTTGCCTGCCACCCCCTGTTCTCCTTCCTCCTACTACTCCACTTCCTGTCAGTCTATTATCTGTCAGAGTTCACAGCTGAGGCAGGAGCAGATGCAGGCTGGAATTGGGGTGGGCTAGCTGGGAAACAGCCACAGGTACACACTAGAGCAGGAGCCGCAGTAAGGGCAGTGTTCCCAGATAAGTAGTAACATTGAGCAGACTAGAGAGGCTGCTTCCCAGGAGCCTATGTACCTTCCTTGAGATCACCTGGTGGGATCTTGCCTGTGGGTTGGCTGAACGCTGTAGGTAACTGATGACTCATTACACTCAAGCAGGCTCAGAGATAACACAGGGATGAGACCTCCCACTTTATCTCCCAATTCCTCACTCTGACACCCATCTCTCCCTCTCTGACTCGCCTTCTGCTCTTTTCTTGGAATCTAGTTTCTTCTCTCACTTCCCCATCCACTGGCTGGAGAGGAGGACCCTCCTCATCACTTTCAGATTCTCTCTTCCCGTACCTCCCCTTCCTATCTGTCTAGTCTCTCTCTCCCCCTCCATGGGATCCTCCATCACTCTGGCTCCCTCAGTCTCTGTTCCTGTACTTTGATGACTGGCTCTCTCTATTCCTGTCCCTGCAACTGACCACCCTCATTCTGGTTAGTTTGAATGTTGTATTTCCAGTCCAGCTGTGGACTAACTCTGCACTGCCTTATTCATCATCTGGCCCTGCTCTTTTCTGAGGGTTCTGTCTTTGACCTCTCTCTGATCACCACTCTCTCTACATTGCTCACTTCTCCTCATCTTCTTTGTCCTATCCCTTGCTCTGTTCACAGTCTCCAATCTTTCATCTCTTTGGACCCTTACATCCACTAAGCTTAACCAGTTTCTGTGACCTTTGTTTCTCAAATGTAAGACTGGCCTTGTGGTTAAAGCACAAGACCGTGATTTTGTAGAACTGGGCTCTATTCTTAGTTTCCAGGTTGGAGCCAGTAGCAAACTATTTCCCCCCCAGCGGCAAGGAAGGAGTTACGGTTCCTTCCCTGTGCTCTTGTGGGGGTGACACAGCTACACATTGTGCCTGTACATCTTGCTCTGTATGAAGGGTAACCTCGCTCTGAGGCTCCGATGTTCAAAACCGGATAGGTGTATAAACGCAGCATGAGGTACTTTAACTCGGTGTGTAAGTGGAACTTCCTCTCCAGCTGGATTAGGTGGTGGTTGTCTCTGAGGGTCCTGGATGGCAGCAGCCAGTTCTTGCCAAAAGAAATCTATGCACATATTTACTGATTTAAGTGTGAGGTTGTAAAGTGTCTGGAGAGCTTCAGATAGAAGGTGCTCAATAAGTGCAAGAGTTACTAATATTTCTGTATCGTCAGGTCACTTTGTAAATATGCCCAATTTGTTGTTAATGGCAGTTGTAGAACCTTTCATTTCCTCTGTTGGTAAAACTGTCACTGAGGCATATTCTGTACTCACTGCACTCACTATCCTCCCTGATCCCTGGAGCTTAACCTTGAAGAGGTTTTATGCACAAAAAGAGTCGAAGAGAAAGAATCACAACATAGTGGCTCTCCTGACACAGCTGTGGAAGCAGACACATGTGGAAGCAGACAAAATGACATCAGTGAGTTTCTTCTCTAGTTTTCTTCTGTGAGTTGCAGAATGAAAGTTTCCAAAAGAAGTTTCTGCTTTTCACTTTAAAGTTACTTCTGGGTTGTAAGGGCAGTGACTTCCTGTAAGCGTCGTGTTGTGCTTTCAGTGGCACTGACTAAATCCAATTTGTCTTCTCTTACTGTGGCTGTTTATAACAGGATGTGCATGGAGACTGCATGTTAACACAGTTGCCACTTTGGCTTCAAGAAGAGAAAACCACTGAGACAAAACCAAAGATTTTTTGCCTATTCGATTCTTCACAGCGTTTGGATTTGTGAAACAGTGCTGCAATGTGGTGGTTTCAGCAAGGCCTCTGTTTCTTGCCTTCGGCTTTGGTTGTTTGGTCAGCCGCTTCTTTCATATTTTCATACATTACCGCAATCCTTCTACGTCACATTGACCCTTTGGTGCCCTACATCAGGTCAGTAAAACTCTTAACTGTTGCACTGTTAACAATACCACAGTATTCATGCCAGAACTGGCCTTTCTTTTTTGCACAAATGTTTCCCCTAACCTTTTAAAAATTGTAGTTTAAAATGTATAGTTTTGGGATTAGCAGTTCTAACATTAAACTAAGAAGATATTTAAAATAAAAACATCAATACTTGTCTTGGTAATTTAATTTAGTTTAATTTTTTGAACAAACACAAACATTTACATTTTAAAGTTTTCATGGCTTATGTTAATGTCATCACAATATCACTGGGTATTTTAGTGATCGCTAGAGATGTTGGGTAATTGGAGGCACAGAGTCATAGAATAAATATCTGAATCCAGAGTTCTTGTTCTATGACGCCAGTTCTCAGCCTCTTCTGTGTTTGGACTCACCCAGACACACCCTCCTTTCTAGCCATACGGGAAGGGCCGGATGGTTACAACCTTCTCCCCTCCCTTGCAATCTTGAGATTGGGAACCCGTGTTCCTTGACAATATGGCTTTTTCATTTGAAACATAGGCTTTTTCTACGTAGGTTTTAACATGTTTTTTAACTTAAATCAGTTGCTGGTGCAGGGTCATAGACAACCGTGAGTAATTCTTAGTTCTGCTAACCAAGCACAGTCACAGAATTTAACATCTCTCTGGAAGTACTAGGGGCCTGCATGTGCCTCTGCTACTGTCCTCCTTCAGATGGCTGGACCTACCATCATCTTCCCTCTCTAATTTCTCCTCCATTTGGTGGAAGGACTGGCAGCCTTCACAAATTGGTTCATTGGCTATTGAGCTGCTAGAGATGAGCTGTAACTGCCCATATCAGAAAAGGTATCATGTTTTGTGCAAATTACAAAAAATTCTATCTTTCCAGCACAAAACCTAGGGACAATTAGCTTTCTGTGAGTTCCAGAATGTATATTTAGATCTAATCTCTCATATTCCTTAGTTTAGTGCCCTTCTGTGTCATGTGGTTTACTCTCACTTAGGCCAGGATTTCAGTGTTACCTTCTGATTCAGGCTTTTTTTAAAAAAAATAAAACACAATTTTTAGCTGCTGTTTTATAACGTTGTTAGTCATATAAAATGAGATTCACCCCATGCAGAAAGCCAGCCCCAGGGCTATTTGCCACTTAATTCTTTCTTGGGTCCTCAGAATAGGGTTTAAAGGGATTTAAACAGTTCCTAGGTCTTATGCTGGCCTTTGCACTGGGGCTTTACAGGTTAAATTAGCAGTGAGAACTTTTCACTCATTGTTTAATCTCTTTAAAATTCTCCTTTCTAACATTTCTTCTTACTTATGTGGGTATGGCAGCTTCACCCTTAGGGTTTGAGACACCAGCCTGCCTGCGGGCTTAATGCTCAATCTTTCCCTTTGTTATGATTAATGCTGCTGCCTTTTTGATCTCCTGATAGATTTACTCAGAGTTCCACCGTGGTGCAGTGGAGATACAGAAATATCAGGCAAGATTTTCCTGAGATTTTGAGAGCCAAATTTGAGCACTTTAAAGAAGCCCTTTTTTCAGAAAGTGCTGAGCATCCATTTTAGAAAGTGAGGCCCCATTAAAGTATTTCAAGTTGGACACCCAAAAATGGAGGCTCCCAACCTATTAGTCATTTTTGAATATCTTGACCCTCATTTATAAGGGTAAAAATTTAACTCTGCAAGTCTGCCTTGTTTATAGTGAATCAGGCAGATGTTTGGTTGTGTGCAGTGAATAACATATGGGACCACATGTTGAACACTTAAAGATAAAAAATAATGAACAGCTCCCGCATTTACTGTATACAGTCCAGCCTGCACACTAAATGATGCAAGTGTCCTTTGAAAAATGAGTGATTATGTAATTAAAATCTGTATTGTAATCTATATGTCCAGTTGGAACCTTAACTTTGGCCTTCCCAGACTTCAGAGTGCTTCATTTTACAGCCTTAACTGTCTTTTAACTTTTGATGTAGAATTAACATAAACAAAGAGGATAGCTATGTTGGTTTGTACATATTGTTCCTGTTCTAAAACCATTGTGCCCATAACAAAAAGGCAGTCATGTTGGCTTCTGCAGCCCTAGAAATCAGCACAGTAAATTGCTTAAATAGTGTACAACAAAATAGGTGAAACTGCTTTGAATGGTTCATGACCCTGTTTCTCCTTTCCTTTCCTCCTCTTATAAAGATGCATTTCTGTGGTGGGAATTTACAGTACATGACTGAGAACCGTATTTCTTATACTGTTTTTCTTACAGTGACACAGGGACAATACCTCCTGAAAGATGCTTATTTGGGATTATGTTAAATATTTCCACTTTCTTAGGTAAGTAGTTAAAATGACCTCTAGCACATTGTAAACACTTCTGGAATACAAATTATTAAACAGGAGCGCTAAGTTACTTATTTATAAGTAATGCCTTACTTATAGTTTTATTATTACTAAATTACCCATAATTCCGAGACAAAAGCTACATTAAGAGAGTGAGGCTGAGAGTACAGATCAGTTATTTAGGGTGAAATGCATTACAGGACTGTTGTAATTATCCCCAAACCAAGCATTTATTAGTGCAGGAAACTCTAAGGTGCCACAAGTACTCCTTTTCTTTGGATACAGGCTAACACGGCTGCTACTCTGAAACCTGTCATAGCTAAGGTTAAGCTTAAAAGAAATCAAGACATGTTAAGGTATGAAAATGCACATTTATGACATGTCCATAACCTTAACTGTGCCCAGTAGTGACATCATCGGGGAAGTGGACTCTCATATGTCTTTAAAAATCAGTTTAATCTAATCTGGGATCACAAACACTACATGCCTTTATCAGAAGGTATTTGCATTTCTGTCACTTCACTTCATTTCCTGGCTTGAGTTCCTCACTTTGCTCTCTTAGGGCTTGTCTTCACTAGTCGCTAAATCAGCATTGCTGTGATCGATGCAGCAGCTTCGATTTACTGGGTCTGGTGAAGACATGATAAGTCGATGGCAGAGCGCTCTCCTGTTGATTTCAGTACTCCACCTCCTCGAGAGGTGGAAGCTATATCAACAGGAGAGCATCTCCCATCAACATAGTGCAGCGTAGACACCGCTGTAAGTCGATCTAAGCTACGTCGACTTAAGTTAAATGATTTACGTAACTTAACTAGCGTAATTTAGATTGACTTCCTTCATTAGTGTAGACCACACCTTAATGTAGTTTTTGCCTTTTAAATAACAATGACCTCTGTCTCTCATATCACCTTACAGTAGACAAGAATAGTTTCCTTGTTTACGTAAGCCTCACTGCATTTGGATTGTTTGTTCACAGGTATTGCCACTGTGTATGTTCGCTATAAACAGGTGTATGCTCTGAGTCCAGGAGAACTCAAGATCGCCAGATTAAATAAGGCTGGCTTTACACTCGGAATGATAAGCTGCTTTGGACTTTGCATTATTGCCAACTTCCAGGTTTGTGTTCTGTCTGCAGTTTTCTGGATGTTATAGTGGAAGGACAATTCAGTATTTTGGACCAGATTTCAGAGGTGATGAGCCCCCACTGACTTAAGTTATAGCTCTGGGTGCTCACCACCTCTGAAAAACAGGTCCTTTATGTATGTTTTCTTTCAAAACAAGACATTTTTGGACGAATTACAAGCCCTAGTAACCTCTGTCCTTCTCCTGTCTCTCAACTGTCTATTTTTCTCTACAACATTATCTTCCTTTTCAGAGTTTTCCCTCTCTCAAACTGATAACCTTTTAAATATTCACACCACAAGCAAGAAACGCCATATGCAAAGCTTCTGGGTGTCACTGTCTGATGGCAACAGTCATGCATTTGGCAGCCATGTCGTGCACGTCCGCGTCTCAGTTGGAGTCTCTTGCATCCAGCAGATCTGCCAAAAGGATGCTGGCATTTGTCTGCAGTTATGCAGCTTTTTGGCAGCTGCAGTGCCTGCTGAGCAAGGATCCAGGTGCCTCCTTCCCCTGCTGGATTAGGGCCAGGAATGAAGCCAGGAGGTGGCGAGAGCATGTGGTGGGAGCAGAAACACAAGATGAGGAGCTTGATACTGGCCTCAGGCTCCAGCCTCCTCTCTTCCCCCAAATCCAGTTGTACCACATGTTCTATAGCACATAGCCCCTGTCCACTGGGAGCCCCAGCACCCACTGTCCCCAGCCGCCCCCAGGGGCTTTAGCACTTCCTATCCTTCCACAGGCCCAGCACTTCTTGACATCCCGGCAAGCACCCATCTAGCTACTCCTTCTTCCCTGTGCCCACTCACCTACCATGGCTAGAGATGCCAGGTTTTATTCAGCTCCATGTCCTAACCGCACCAATGATCAAGGGATGATGTGTTTGGCTAAGCCTAAATTTAGGGTTATGTGCAAGTTAGTTAATTAAATACTACACATAAAATGGCACATGGTACAAACCAGAACTTGGCAGCTATGCTTATTAGCGTATTTGACTACCAGTGCTGGCAAGGAGGATCCCACAGAAAAAGGAAGGAGCCAAAAAAAGAAATTCGATTCCACTAACTACAGAAGATAAATCAAGAGGGGGCAGAAAGAGGAGTAAGATCGAAGGGTGAGCAAAAGGGTTCCAGAGGGGGACACCAAGCAGAGAACCCCAGATAGTGGTCGATGCAGAAACTGTTGAGGGTGTCAGTGGATGCTGCCTCGTAGAACTCTGCCCAGATGGGTACATGTGAGAGGCCAAAGGTTCGTCTGCAAGGAAAAATTAACAGGTATAGCGAGAGCAGAATAATTGAATACTTATTGTGCTATAGCTACACAGGTCAATTTTCCTGTGCAGACGAGCCCAAAGAAAATTTCTCTGTTGATCTCTACACTGTCAATACAGAAAAACATATTTGACCACGGGATGGCAGTATAGCAGCGCACAATTTAAATTCTGATTTCTACAGTACAGGTGCAGAGTCAGCCTTGGGAATTTATTGGCGTTTGATTAAATACGTGGCCAGATTTCGTAAGGGCCTGGATGATTTCATTACCATTAATCTCATCTGCAGTTATGTCGCTGAAATAAGGGGAACCCAGTCTCAGGGTTTAGGGCATAAGATGATCTGCGGAGCGAGGAGGAATCGATCATGCACAGTCAGTCAGGTGCATTTTTTTCCCTACCTTCCTTCTCAGCACCAGGAACTGGTCACTGTCCAAAGACAAAACACTTGTCTGAGTGCCTCCACAATCTGATTTTCTATGGGAAACCCTGTGTTTCTTTGATAATAGTCGAGTCGATTCCATCTTTTACAGTTTGTTACTGTTACATTTTGAAGTATGTATTCTACTTAAGGTGTGATTCCGTTCTACCTCTAAAATAAGTAGAAGTGACCCTTTCTTATTCAAAGGAGCCACTGCTGGTTTTAATGCCAAGCTTTTATTGTTCTTAACCCCTGTTAGAATTGAAGAGCGAACATACCTAAGAGGGAGTAAGGTGAAATTTATCCGTTTACTTTATTACTGGTGGTGATGGACAAGTGACTCCAGCTGGTTTGAGTGTGCAGAACTGGCAGTCAGGAAGGACTCATACACTGAGCCAATTTTATCTAAAGTGATTGAGACACAAACTGAGAACCCCATGAGTCCATTTTTACAGAGTCACTTTTCAGAGTAGAACCAGAACCACTAGGTTTTAGCCTGTATTGTGTGATCCTGTTGTGTTCATAAACTTAGATGTTAGGATAGAAGGGGTTAATAGGCCGTCTAATCCCTGATCCCTGCCCTCATCTGCGTAATCACAGGGCTTCCTTTATCCAGCTTCAGTGTTGTATCCCCGTTTTCTCTGAATACATCTTGTGACAGGACTTTGATGATTTCTTGTCATTAAACTACAGGCCTCCTTGGACAAGTAGCATACAGCCAGATTTTCAAGAGTGGTTACTGACTACAGGCGACTTGACAGTTGTGTGTGTCCAACTTGACACACTTTGTGCATCATTTACAAAAGTGCTGAGCACCTGCAGTGCCTAGTGGCTTGAAGTGGAGCTGCAAGTGCTGTGCGACTCAAAGTCAGGCCCCAAGCCTCTCAAGTTGGGAACCCAAAAATCAATGGCCTTTTTGAAAAGGTCAGCTTTGAATTCTGTGCCTTGGCTTTCTCATCTGTAAAATGGAAATGTGAATACTTACCCACAAAGGACATGTAAGGGTCAGTTTTTTCATAAAAAAAAATAGTTTGATCCTCAGATGGAAGACTCTGTGTACGTGCAGGTTACTGGTACTATTCTCATCATGATATTATTCCATTGTCTGATGGGCCTATTCTCATTTTACTTGCTTCAAACCTCCTGAATAATTCCTCCACTTCCTTTTTGCTAGTACTGTTCAGTTATTTACAGACCAGTCTCATTAAGGCTGTATTTCACACAGCCATCCTAGGAGTCAGTTTGTCATCTTTTCATTATTAAATGAGAATCTGTGACTTGACACTGAGTTTTTTGTGTCCGAATGATGGGAAGTGATGACAGATGAACTAGTTTAATTGAGAACACTGAGTGTTGCCTAGTCTAATAATGGGCTGTTTAGGAGGGTTAAGCTTAACAACAACAACAATAAGAAGTGTGTGGCCAATGAAAGCTGAGTAAAAGCTTTTATTCTTCCATGGTGATGAGCCCCCCCACCCCTAGGTAACTAAAAACAAGGGTTGTTTTAAAAAACAAAAGGAGTTCATGCTATTATGCTCAAGTCCATGAACTGTTAACATAGCTCTAGTTATTGCACTAACTAACTAAAAGGTATCGCAACAAACTAAAAGCCCTGCTGTTCTGGCCAGTTTATTAAAATCTCTGCTCTTGAGTAAAGTGTCACAGGAACTTTAAGGACCGCAAGTGGCCAAGACCTTAGTTTTATGTTTCATCTGAAAGACTGGCCCTCCGGCAGCCAATTGCTCCATGACAACATGTACTGACAGAGAGTTGGCAGCTGCTGAATTACTGCTAACCCACATGTGGATTTCCTTTGAAGGTCTCCCATCGAAGGACTGACTCTGTCCCAGCACTGCTTAACTTGAGAGATGTGAGGAGATCACAGTTAGAGGTGATGGCAGCTGCAGGCAAAGCTTTTACAGAAATAAATTGTCTGAGCTTTGATAGAGTGGAGCTATCAGCACTGCAATAAGCTAAATTGTGTTCTGTATATTTTATGTACATATTATATTTTATTTATATCTGTCTTTCCATCTAGAAATATACTCTGTTTTATATGCACGTAGTTGGAGCCTGTCTAACGTTTGGAATAGGAGCCATTTACATACTGGTTCAGACTATTCTTTCCTACATGATGCAGCCAAAAATTTTTTGGATCCGAGTGATCGTGTTACTCTGGTGTGGATCAAGCATAGCAAGCAGTATCCTTTGTTGTGAAATACAAGTAATACTAGTAGTACAAGCTAGATCATAAAATAGAGTAAGTTTGTGAAAAATGTGCAAAGAAACGTGTAGGGTCTTTTGTCGTCTTTCATTTAGAGTATGGAAGTGTGCTCTAGGTTAAGATACATCTTAAATCCATTTCAAAATGTAAACTAGTACAGAATGCACAAGATCACAGGACAAAAAATAGGAACTGATCACAGAACTAAAAATTAGCAGTAGCTTAGGTACAAGTAATCATGACTTGATCGCTTGTTATGTGCAAATATATAATACTGGTTTGGACTCTATATACATTTGGTGTTTTTAAAAGGGCCAGTTTCACAAAGCTGAAAATAAGTATGAGCCAAACCAGTTGACAAAGGATTTAAACCAAAAAATAATGGATAATTGGGAACTATTTAAGAACATTTTACTAGATACCCAAAGAGCCACACTAAAGAAAAGGCCACACTGGTTTAAAAAAAACAAAAACCACTAGCCAATCTAGTATAGATGGGAAGTGAAAGTAGCTATTTAAAATAACTCTCATCCACCCACAAAATGGAAGAAAGGGCAAGTTGATAGCTTCTGAATTATATTAATACTATGAATTGTAGAAAATTGGTAAGGGAAGCAAAAGGAGTAATCTATGGCCAGCAGAGTTAATCACCTTATTATCCTTAAGTATAGGATTCCTTTTGTTCCTAACAATGGTATTGGTCCATTACTAGCTGGACATGGTTGACCTGTCAAAAAGAAACTGAAAAGGTAAAAGTGTTCAATAAATATTTCTGTTCTGTATTTGGGGAAAAGTCAGGTGATATAAATATATCATATGGTGATGAAATACTCTCCATTCCAATTGTGATTAAGGAGGATGTTAGAGAGCAACTACTAAAGCTAGACATTTTAAAAATTATCTGGTGTGGTTAACTTGCACCCAAGAGTTTTAAAGGAGCTGAAGTTGATGTAATGTACCTTGACTTGACAGGGTAGTGCACTACATTTTGATAAGAAACTACAAGAGTCCAAAATCAACATGGCTCACATTAAACAGATTAAAAACTGGCTGGCAGGTCTCAAAATGTAATTATAAATGGGGAATCATCATTGAGCAGGTGTGTATCAACTGGCGTCCTCCAGGGTTTCGTTCAGAGCCCCACACTATTTAATATTTTTAGTTAATGACTTGGAAGAACACAAAATTACTGATAAAGTTTGCAGATGAAGATTGGGGAGAGTGGTAAATAATGAAGAGGACAGGTTGCGGATATAGAGCGATCTGGACTGCTTTGTAAAGTGATTGCAAGTAGATAGCTTGTGTTAACAGAACTCCATAGAAAGTCATACATCTAGACCCCAGAAGGTGGCCATACAGCATCAGGGCCCCTACAGCATGGGAAGCAGTGACTGAAAGACACCTGGACAATCAGCTGAACATGAGTTCTTAGTGCAGTGTTGTAGCCAAAAAGGCTCATGAGATCTTTGGATGTATAAATGAGAATATTGAGTAGGGAGGTTTTATTACTTCTGTAAATGGTCTTGCAACCACTACTGCAATACTGTGTCCCCTGTTGGTGTCCACAGTTCAAGAAGGATGTTGATTAATTGGAGAGGGTTCAGAAGAGAGCGAAGAAAAAGATGAAAGGATTGCAAACAATGTTTTCAGCGCTAGGCTCAAGGAGCTCAAACTGTTTAGCTTAACAAAGGGTGACTTGATTATAGTTTAAATAATTGCATGGGGAAGAACAAACTGATAAGAGGGCTCTTCAGTCGAAGAGACAAAAATATAACAAGATCCAGTGGCTGGAAATTGAAGCTGGACAAATTCAGACTAGAAGTAAGGAACAAGTTAACAACAAGGGCAGTTAGCCATTGGAACAACTTACTAAGGATTGTGCTGGATTCTTCATCACTGGAAGTTTTTAAATCAAGTTTTGATGTTTTTCTAAAAGATCTGTGCTAGTTCAAACAGCAATTAGTTCAAGAAGTCCTATAGTCTGTGTTATACATGAAGTCAGACTTGATCACAATTGTCCTTTCTGGTCTTAGAATCCATAAATCTACCCCTTCCCACTTGTGCCGTGCTGTCATCCAAACAGCAGCCATGTGATTCCCCACCACCACAACTTCCACTGATTCACTGTTCCCACCCCATTAATTATTTTTTTAAGGACTGAAGGAATTCATTGACTAAGAATCTCAGTTATCGGTGGGGAGATCAGACCCATCTCCAGAGGCAGCGCAGACCCGGAGCTTCCTGCAGCCAGAGGAGGTACCTGGAGGTGCATCTGATCTCTGCCCAAGAGCAGCCGTGCAGGGAAAGAGCAAGTCCTGTCCTTCCCCAGCTCAGTAGGGAGTCAGACTTTGGGCTTTTGTTTCCACGGCTCCCACCAGGGCTCAGGGTGCCCATTTTTCCAAGGGGCCCGCAAATTGGCTGGGGCCCCTGGGCACGGGCCCATGCATTAATCTGCCACTGGCCTGGACTAACAACTAGGAGCCCCTGGCTGAGGCATTCCCAGCGGATAGGGGAGATCACACTCACCGCCACCTCCGGGAGCTTCTTCCAGCTACCGTAAGCTCAATGGCTGCTGCCTTCAGAGCCCAGCACAGAAGTGAGGATGGCAATCCCGTGACTCCCCACACCAGCTTTGCAACTGCCCCATGACCCCCTTTTGGGTCAGGACCCCCACAGTTACACCACCATGAATTTCAGATGTAAACATCTGAAAAAGTGAAATTGACTAATTTTCAAATCCTATGGCTGTGAAATTGGCCAGAATGGACCATGAATTTGGTAGGGCCCTAGTTATGGGGTAAGAAACTACACTTTTGTTGCAAAGAGTAACTTTCTGTTTCACCTCAAGGTTACTGTTCATTATGGTAAACACGTCTTATCTTGGCATTTCAGAGCCCAAGGTCCCATCCATTTATGTAGATACCTGGCCGCAGGGTGAAACTTAGTCTAGACCTTAACTGGAACATTCTTTCCAAATTTGCCATTTAGCATCTTGCATCTTCCTTACCTTGTTTCTCTAGTGTTTGTTTCTTCGGTCCTTTTGTACAGTGGCCTGTATGGAACTGACCTAGTACAGAAGCTGCACTGGAACCCACAGGAGAAAGTAAGTCTGATTTTGAGAGCGGGGAGGAAAAGGAAGGACAATTCCATAAAGGACGGTGTGTCCATTTAGCATTGGAGAAAGTGTTCCATGTATGAAGGCTAATGCAGACTTTCTAACTGATGGGAATGCCCAGGCTGCTGGATTGCCTGGATCACAATGGTGAGGGGATGGAAGTTTGCTTATCCTTGGAGAATAAGAGGGGCCGAAGGGGAGAACACAAGAGCTGCTGCTACTTTCTTGTGTGTTTCTCACTAACTCTTAAGTTTTATTCAGAAACCATGTTAATTCATAGGTGTAAGGGGACAAAGTAAAGATTGATCATTTAACAAACTGTTTCCAAATTTCCTGTATTTGCTTTTCTGTGCTTAATTTCTCACTGTTGCATCTACAGTTTTCCTTTAAATCAAAGTGTACATCTCTCCCATGCTTTCGATGACCTTCAGTTGCAAATATAGACAAATGCATGAACAACTGAGAATTACCATAAAACATTTTCAGTAGATGGAACAAATGAACTTTTGCTGTTTGAGCAAACATGAGATGGCTTGCCCAGTTGCTACTCAGTACAAGTAAGGGTTGCAGAATCAAGCCCTAAATTAGACTAGAAACCTTGAGAAGTGTTAATGAATGAAGGACGTTGTGAGGATTACTACAGTGAAAAGAACTTAAAGAAGTTATTAGGTACAGGCTCTGTAACCATTGGTAAAAGTACAGGTTTAATGACTAGCAGCTGCTGTGCTGTACATGACCTGCTTTGTCTTCGCTCACCACAAAGTTATGATCAGAATTGTCAGCCAACAAGATTCTTTACGGTCACATTTTAACATGGTAGCATTTTGCATTGAAGATGAAGCCTGTGTGTTCATTGCTGTTTGGTGGGTTACTGAAGTGGGTATGAGAGATTAATAGGAAAAATCAGGGTGGGGGCAGGGATAGCTCAGTGGTTTAAGCATTGGCCTGCTAAACCCAAGGTTATGAGTTCAATCCTTGAGGGGGCCATTTAGGGATCTGGGGCAAACTTTGGGGATTGGTCCTGCTTTGAGCAGGGGGTTGGACTAGATGACCTCCTGAGGTCCCTTCCAACCCTGATATTCTATGATTCTATGAATGGAGAAAGAGGGAAGAGCAGGGGACAAAAGAGGGAAGAAGAGAGGAAAGTGGGCAAGTCAAAGCTACATGTGATGTAGCTATACTTTGTTAGTTGAGGCCATTATGTAGTAAAGCAACAATCTAGCCCCCAATATACATTAGAAGCAATGTGTACAAGGTACATGAGTTCCAAAAAATAGTGAGTTAGGAGTTGTCATCCATCTGCACATGACGCTTTAGAAGCGTGAGCAACAAGGGTGATGTCGTGGTGGGAGTCTGCTATAGACCACCGGACCAGGGGGATGAGGTGGACGAGGCTTTCTTCCGGCAACTCGCAGAAGCTACTAGATCGCACGCCCTCGTTCTCATGGGCGACTTCAGTCATCCTGATATCTGCTGGGAGAGCAATACAGCGGTGCACAGACAATCCAGGAAGATTTTGGAAACTGTAGGGGACAATTTCTTGGTGCAAGTGCTGGAGGAACCAACTAGGGGCGGAGCTGTTCTTGACCTGCTACTCACAAACCGGGAAGAATTATTAGGGGAAGCAAAAGTGGATGGGAACCTGGGAGGCAGTGACCATGAGATGGTTGAGTTCAGGATCCTGACACAAGTAAGAAAGGAAAGCAGCAGAATACGGACCCTGGACTTCAGAAAAGCAGACTTTGACTCCCTCAGGGAACTGATGGGCAAGATCCCCTGGGAGAATAACATGAGGGGGAAAGGAGTCCAGGAGAGCTGGCTGTATTTTAAAGAATCCTTATTGAGGTTACAGGGAGAAACCATCCCGATGTGTAGAAAGAATAGTAAATATGGCTAAGCGACCAGCTTGGCTTAACAGTGAAATCCTTGCTGATCTTAAACACAAAAAAGAGGCTTACAAGAAGTGGAAGATTGGACAAATGACCAGGGATGAGTATATAAATATTGCTCGGGCATGTAGGAATGAAATCAGGAAGGCTAAATCACACCTGGAGTTGCAGCTAGCGAGGGATGTTAAGAGTAACAAGAAGGGTTTCTTCAGGTATGTTGGCAATAAGAAGAAAGCCAAGGAAAGTGTGGGCCCCTTACTGAATGAGGGAGGCAACCTAGTGACAGAGGATGTGGAAAAAGCTAATGTACTCAATGCTTTTTTTGCCTCTGTCTTCACGAACAAGGTCAGCTCCCAGACTACTGCACTGGGCAGCACAGCACGGGGAGGAGGTGGCCAGCCCTCTGTGAAGGAAGAAGTGGTTCGGGACTATTTAGAAAAACTGGACGTGCACAAGTCCATGGGGCCGGATGCATTGCATCCGAGAGTGCTAAAGGAATTGGCGGATGTGATTGCAGAGCCATTGGCCATTATCTTTGAAAAATCATGGCGATCCAGGGAAGTCCCGGAAGACTGGAAAAAGGCTAGTGTAGTGCCCATCTTTAAAAAAGGGAAGGAGGAGGATCCTGGGAACTACAGGCCGGTCAGCTTCACCTCAGTCCCCGGAAAAATCATGGAGCATGTCCTCAAGGAATCAATTCTGAAGCACTTAGACAAGAGGAAAGTGATCAGCAACAGTCAGCATGGATTCACCAAGGCAAAGTCATGCCTGACTAATCTAATTGCCTTCTATGATTAGATAACTGGTTCTGTGGATGAAGGGAAAGCAGTGGACATGTTATTCCTTGACTTTAGCAAAGCTTTTGACACGGTCTCCCACAGTATTCTTGTCAGCAAGTTAAAGAAGTATGGGCTGGATGGATGCACTACAAGGTGGGTAGAAAGTTGGCTAGATTGTCGGGATCAACGAGTAGTGATCAATGGCTCCATGTCTAGTTGGCAGCCGGTATCAAGTGGAGTGCCCCAAGGGTAAGTCCATGGGGCCGGTTTTGTTCAATATCTTCATTAATGATCTGGAGGATGGTGTGGATTGCATCCTCAGCAAGTTTGCAGATGACACTAAACTGGGAGGAGAGGTAGATATGCTGGAGGGTAGGGATAGGATACAGAGGGCCCTAGAAAAATTGGAGGATTGGGCCAAAAGAAATCTGATGAGGTTCAACAAGGACAAGTGCAGAGTCTTGCACTTAGGACAGAAAAATCCAATGCACCGCTACAGACTAGGGACCGAATGGCTAGGCAGCAGTTCTGCAGAGGAGGACCTAGGGGTGACAGTGGACGAGAAGCTGGATATGAGTCAACAGTGTGCCCTTGTTGCCAAGAAGGCCAATGGCATTTTGGGCTGTATACGTAGGGGCATTGCCAGCAGATCGAGGGACGTGATCATTCCCCTCTATTCGACACTGGTGAGGCCTCATCTGGAGTACTGCGTCCAGTTTTGGGCCCCACACAACAAGAAGGATGTGCAAAAATTGGAGAGGGTCCAGTGAAGGGCAACAAAAATGATTAGAGATCTGGAACACATGACTTATGAGGAGAGGCTGAGGGAACTGGGATTGTTTAGTCTACGGAAGCGAAGAATGAGGGGGGATTTGATAGCTGCTTTTAACTACCTGAAAGATGGATCCAAAGAGGATGGATCTTGACTATTCTCAGTGATAGCAGATGACAGGACAAGGAATAATGGTCTCAAGTTGCAGTTGGGAAGATTTAGGTTGGATATTAGGAAAAACTTTTTCACTAGGAGGGTGGTGAAACACCACAATGCGTTACCTAGGGAGGTGGTGGAATCCCCTTCCTTAGAAGTTTTTAAGGTCAGGCTTGACAAAGCCCTGGCTGGGATGACTTAGTTGGGATTGGTCCTGCTCTGGGCAGGGGGTTGGACTAGATGGCCTCCTGAGGTCCCTTCCAACTCTGTTTTTCTATGATTCTATGATCTCTGCACCCCTTAGGGGAAAGAATACTTCACCCTTTCCTCCCAGACACCAGGTAAATTCAGCTTATTTCATTCTATTATGAAAGAGTTTGAAAGGCAGAAATATAAGCCTTCTACTACTGGAGACTGAAAAAGCAGTCTCACTACATAGATGTATTTTCTCTTCAATACAGGGCTACATAGTTCACATCATCAGCACAATCTCAGAATGGTCTCTGGCTTTCTCCTTCCTCAGCTTTTTCCTCACCTACATCCGTGATTTTCAGGTAAGGCGCAGTTCGTGTCCAATGCTTTGTATAGCCTGAGACTCATGAAATAAACTTAACATCCTTCATCAAATATCAGAACTGGTAAACTCAGCCCCACCAGCCTAGTTACAACAATACACCTTTCTTTTGATTGTCTTGGGATCCTACCCTGAAAGAGCAGCAAGGTAAACATGGTCCCATCTTACTCAATAGATTTTCTTTGTGCTGTGTCCCTAAGGTATATCTACTGAGGGACCAGAATTAGCTTTCACTACTTTCATACCCTATATGTGCTGCAGAACTATCATAGCTCAGGAAATAACATGGAAAATAGCACAAGAGAGGAATGTTTCAGAAAATTCTTGGTTACTGAAAACAGGGGATTAGAATGAAAACTCTTTTGCGACCTATCTCTAGCAACCTCTGTCTGCACCTGCAGTCACCTATAGATCAGCCGATTATCTCCCTCCTGAGCTGTGAAAACTTTCACACCCTGAACAGCCGTGAGAGAAGTTTAGACAATGCCATATTATTTCCTCATGGGTCTCTCAGGGCTATTTGAGTTACTAATATTTCGCTTTCTTAGCAGGCAAGTAGTTTTTGGAGTGATACGCATTTCAGGGTGCTTGGACTTGGCTGTAGAAGCTACTCTGGGGAAAGAGCAGAGTAAGTAGTGAAGCTCTGCTAACTTATGTTATTTTTTTTCTCTCTCATTTTTTTTCTATTACAGAAAATTTCCTTGCGTGCGGATGTCAGTTTAAGTGGACACAACGTTTGCAATACGCCCAATAGCTTTGTGGCTGATGAACACACACTGTTGATTGGAGGACGTTTATAACTAAGTGGGAGAGAAAACACTTTCTCAGCTTTTATATCTCAGGAATTTAGAAAGTAGCAATAATACTAACAATTTATATAAGCGTTTGTATCAAAAATTCCATCCAATTAAAGAGGAGACTAAATTCAATCACTTTGACACATAAAGGGTTTTGCTGTTAACCCACATAGCAATGCAAAGGTGATTAATAATCAGTATTATCAATAACCTGTAATACATTTCTGCACTTATACATTTTATAGAATGAAGAATAAAATGGACATTGGAAAGTTGTGAGTGTCTCTGTTGATTCGGTCCATGCGTTCTGCACGCACAGCAAGGCCTTGGACAAGATTCCAAGCTGTTTCCACTCCGGGCCTGATACAACTCCCATAAAAGTCAGTTGCAATGAATGGGAAGATGTACTGAATGAGGATTAGCTACATAGATGGGCATAGGTGGAGAGGAGTTATACCTTAAACAGGTCCTAGCCTTGATCATTTTGACAAATGCATATGCACAAGGGGCCAAATTAAAGGTTGTACAGCCTTAATTCTGGCATTTCATACCTTTTGAGAGCTTGACTTTGCAACCTTAATATTCTTACATAGTTTTGTAGGTAGTTTCCCAGATTTTAAAAAAGCAAATGGGGTGTGGGGGACGGAACCACATTCCACCATGTGACATATTGACACTAATATGGCTCATTAGCAGGCTTGGAACCTTTAGATCAACTGCACAGATCTCTGCAGAGCTAATGAAGTGAAGTAGAAGAATAGCAGGTTATCTTCTGTGGACTGCACTAGAGGGGGATGAGACATTTAGCCACTAGTCTCAGGTATTTGCTGACTGGAGGAATGATGGGATGGAGGAATCTTGGATTGCATTCCAGGCTCTGGAGGGGAGTATCTGCTCTACTGAGCAGAGACCCTTTTGCCAGTTCCTCCAAGCTTGACCCCTCTGCCTTGTCCCCTCCAACCTGTCTGTTCCCCACACCTGGCTCTTCAGCGCCATTCGCTTTGCCTACCCAGCCCCAGTCTCCTCACCCAACAAGTCGCAGTCTCCCTCCAGCTCAGTTCCCATCTCCAACTCCCAGTTTCTCTCCTCTTCTTTCACCCCCGGCTCATCCAGGTTTTGTCGCAGTCTGCTCTTTCCCCCAGTCAGCTCCTGTTCCCATGCATTCAAATCTTCCACCTTTCCTCTTCCATGCTGGCTGAATGCCAGCATTGGGTCATTCAGATCCCAGAAAAGACAGCAGACAGAAGTGCCATCAAGTTGAGAGTAGGGCCTTGCTTCATTCAGCCAAGAACAGAAGCAAGGTCATCAGCCCCTGCAAAACTAACTGAAATGAAACAACCACCACTTCTCTCCAGCTACCGGGCACCCCAGGGTAGCCCCACCCCTCCCACCACACTCCAGGGCTGAAAAATGCAAGGTGGGCTCCTCTCTTCCCTCAGGCCCACTTCCACTTGCACCCTAGGGATGCGCAGAGCATGTGACCTCTCCATCTGGGCACTGCTCATGTCAGTGTCCCCACTGCCTTGTGCTGACATCAGAGTAGCTTTTCCTAGCACTACAAAGGCAAGGAGGACAGACCTGCTTGTGAGTAGGCTCTCAAGGAAGCGCCAGCAGGGGCTCTCTCCTTTCCCCCACCCCTGTATCTTGTATCCCTCTTTCTTCATGCTTCACTTCCTCACTCCCCCTTCCCTTTACTCCATCCCACTGTTTTATTTCCACCACTCACCCACCCCCTCCCCACACCTCAATATCTGGAGGCTCCTTCCCTCTCACCCCAACCCTACTGTCTGGCTTCTACTTCGTGCCCTCCCCACCCCATTTCCCAAGATTTGGCTTTGCCAAACATGGCAGCTTGGGGAAGTGACACTGGTCAATAGCCAGACTGCGTGGGCTGGTCAGTTCTGCAGCCACACACGGAGTTAATCAAGAATAGTTCATCTGGAATAACTCCCCACGTAGACAAGCCCTTACACGATGCTCAGTGTTGACACAATACCCAAATCCCTGTGCTCCATTAGTTCCTCGTCCACATGACCATGGCAGACAAACACTCACTTCATCAGCCTGACCTTCCATCTGAAAGCCCAATGGACACCAGCCGCCCCTGCATTGTTACTGAGGGAGTCATCTTCCACACTTAGAGGTTAAAAAAAGAAGTAGATCCTAATGTGTTTTATGAAACACTCGCATTGTGTCGGCACGTAGGGTGTGATCCACAACCGTACTTAAGCGTTACCACAAGCTGCAAAACCCTGTAGGCCCCTAAATTCTCTCAGCACCTAAGTGTTTGCAGTAAAAGTTTCCTAGGCACTTACGCTTCTGCTCTGAGCATGCACATAGCTGCCTCACTCTAGGCACCTGGACACTGGTCTCCTGCCTACGTCCCAGCGTGAGTCACAAACCAGGAAAGACACACACACCCCGAAGTCTCCTGTGGGGCCCATTCTGATAAGTAGGCTGAGAGGCTGCCTACAAGATGGAGCCCCTCAGACAAATTCACAGTAAACATCTGGCGGAAGGAACAGCTCATGGTAGGCAAAATGTAGGCACAAGTCCTATCCAGGGCTCTGGTCCAGTTTGGAAAGTCCATTCTCTCAAAGCCAGCAATTATTTCACCAATATCTGAAATGCCCACCACAGTCCTGATTGCCTCAAGCCTCTGCCACAACCCCCCCACCCGCAGTTGTTTTTCCCTCCCCCCATGAAGAGGAGTCATGCAAGTGGATTCCTCATGTCAGCCGAGTTTGCAGCACAGATCACAAGGAAGGAGGGGGCTAAACCATCTAACAAGAAGGGATTGTATCTCTGCTGCTTGGTCTCTGAGGGCAAGGTTTACTAGGCTGTAATGGAAGTCCTCACCTCTTGAGTGCCTCCTAGCAGCTGAGTATGGTACTGCAATCATTTTCCTGCTCTTGGTGCCCTCTGTCTGTTGCTGACCTCTCTAGGTGGGTCTTCAGTGGCTAAACCCTCTGGCCAACTCACCCCGGCAGGACAGACCTCTTCCCGGGTAGCAAAGAGTTCACCAAACTGTCTGCCCTCATCATGGTCATTAGCCCCATCTCTGGGCCCTTTAAATCACATTCCTCGGGTTTCTAAAGGGGCATCGTCCCCTTTTAGGGACTTAGGTCACTTTGCCAGTAGGGGAACTTGGACCCACCCCTACTCTGGGTTCCAGCTCAAGGACCCTATAGACAGCTGCTTCCATCAGCTAGTTGCTGCTGCCTTCCCTGGACCTCTTCCCACCCGGGCCCTTTATCTTCGCCTGTTATTTTAGGGTGACAGCTCTCAGGTCCGCTCACTCCCAGGTCCAGTAAAGGCAGCCAGTTGAGTGCCCCTTCCTCACCCTTCTGGTCCCAGGCAGGAAGTGACCTGCTAAAGACCTGCCACAACTTTTATCTGAGCCTGTTGGGCTCTCATTGGCTGCTTCCATGGGGCCTCTCTAGGCCAGCCTCGAGGACCCACTTTCACTGCTCCTTCCTGGGGCACGGCGTAGTAGGACCACAGGGCACCCAGCAGGGGGGCCCCGAAGGGTCAGGTCCACACCGTCACATAGACATGAGCGAGAGGTCCCCATATGTTTAACCTGGGTTAGCCCTAAAGGACATAGAAAGCTTGCTTATAAAAGAAACTTCTATTACTTTTTGAAACTTAAGATTCTAACTCATTTGTGTATCCGTGTTTACCTGCTTTAACCTTGTAACTAATTCCTTTCCTTTTCCTACTTAATAAATCTTTAGATAGTTTAACGTAGGATTTGCTACAGGTGGTATCTTTGGTTTAAGATCTAAGGCAGTGTGTTTCAAAGTCTGGGTTAATTAAAAAGCATGTAAAGCACTGGGTCACCTTGCTCAGCACCCAGGGACCCTAGAGGCTCTGGTCAGCACGGCCGACCGGGACGTTAAAAGTCCCCTTGACGGTGCTGCCCAGCTAGGCTAGTGCCTACCTGTTCCGACACCGTGCTGCGCCCCAGAAGCATCCAGCAGCAGGTCCAGCTCCTAGGCAGGGAGGGGGGGGCATGGGGCTCCATGCGCTGCCCCCACCTCGAACACCAGCACCACACTCCCATTGGCCGGGAACCAGCAAATGGGAGCTGGGGGGGGAGGTGCCTGCAAGTGAGAGCCATGCGGAGCCGCTTGCGCGCCTCCACCTAGGAGCCGGACCTGCTGCTGGCTGCTTCCGGAGCACAGCACCATCTGCGGTGCCAGGACAAGCGGGAAGCCTGCCTCTGCACCACCGCTGCATCGCTGACCGGGAGCCACCAGAGCTAAGTCCGCACCCCAACCCCATTCACCAATCCCCTGCCCTATTCCTGAGCCCCCCCAAACCCAGAACCCCTTCCTGCCCCCCAAGCCCCTTAACCCTGGCCCCACCCCAGAGGCTGCACCCCCAGCCCAGAGCCCTGACCCCCTCCTGCACCTCAAACCCCTGCCCCATCCCTGAGCCCCCCAAAACCCAGAACCCCTCCTGCACCCCAACCCCCTGCCCCAGCCCACAGCCCCCCTCCCACATCCTGAACCCCTCATCCCCAGCTCTGTTGAGTCGTGGGCATCAACAATTTTCTTCAACTGGGTCCCCAGAAAAAAAGTTTGAAAACCACTGCTCTAAGGTGTAATTGACCTAGGGTAAGTGACTGGTTCTTGGGAGTGGGAGTAGCCTGAATATTGCCATGATTCTTGGTGTAAGGGACCATCTATCACACTTGTAGGCTCATCTGGTGGTGAGATAGTCCAAGGGGACTGTCTGTGACTCTGTGGTCAGCCTGTTATGGTGTCTGAGGAGTTTACACTTGATAATTGATTGGTGAAACCTAAGCATAGAACACACAGCCAGTGTGGGGTTTGTGCCCTGCTTCCCAATAGTCTGCCCTGAGGTTGGTACAGACAGTCTTGAGTCACCGTAGGCAACTTTCCAGGAATAATTACGGTGACACTGCACCCCCATATTCTTAACAGTGATATTATTGTGACGGGTTGGATCACAGAAACCCCCTGGGAGCTGACAACTGATGTGCAAAGATTACTTCTGCCCCTGCTTTCCTGCCTTGTCAGCTTGGGACTTCAGTGCCCTGCCTGGTTTGAGCCAGATCCACTAGCCTGCTGCAAACCCAGACCCAGGTCTGAACCACGTCCCCTAACAGTTGTAGGCTTAACTGAAAGCAGCTTGGGAACTGTTCCTGTCTTTAACACTCAGATGCTCAACTCCCAGTGGGTTCCAAACCCCAAATAAATCTGTGTTACCCTGTATAAAGCTTATACGAGGTAAACTCATAAATTGTT